GTGGCAGTTGCGACAGAGTCTGACGTCGACACCGAAGATGACGAGGCTGCGGTTGGGGCTACAAGTTCCTCATTGCCGCTAGTAGACGCACCGGTATCTGTGCTGGATACGCTACCAGAGTCTGAGGATGAGACTTCGGAGGTTGCGGCACTAGCTGAGGCGGATGCACTGGCAGAAGCAGCAGATACTGTAATAGATGAGGCAGCAGTCGTAGTGGCAGCAGATACTGTAATAGATGAGGCTGCAGTCGTAGTGGCAGCAGATACTGTAGTAGATGAGGCAGCAGCAGTCGCAACTGCGGCGGAAGCACCCGATGCAGATGTTACAATATTTCCAGTGGCGGTCGGAGTGGAACCTGTGTAGACATAGGCCGGAGACAGGATGGCAGGAACAGAGGTGGCAGCATTGATAGTGGCATCCTCGGGCCCATATTGGACAGGGTTGTTTCCAGGGAGTTGATCAAGGGTTCCAAGGACTACATCGGGGTAAACGATCATGTAAGACATGAGAAAGTAATAAGCTGAGCTGCATACCTTGTTCATCAACAATGGAGGTGATAGCGCAAGTACCAGAAGTATCGAGAGTGAAAACACCGAGGTCACCACAGCAAGTGGCGTCACCAAATCCAGCAGAAGCTGTAGCAGATGCGATCAAGAATGAATTTCGGAACCAAGGATAAAACTTACTGCACGCGCACTTATCCAGAACATTTTGAAGGATACCACTTTCCCAACCATTGTAGAAGTCTTTGGGTTTCATCGATGAGATTCATTGATGTAACAGTGAAAATATGACTGACCAGCGTGATATCCGTAGCCCGTGGGGTCACCGTAAGAGAAACTATATTCACGAATTATTAGTGTTACTTTATTCAAATAGGGCACATTTACTTACACGTAGGGTTGAGTAGAGTTCATGGCATCAGTGTCCCTGATAGCGTCCCATTCACCAGTCGACCAGTATCCCTGTTCTGATTTAGTTTGAGAAGAAGATTAAACACATCGAAGCTTACCTCGATGAAAACACGGGGAATTGTTACAGGGAAGGCAGGATCATCGCATGTTCCACTATCAGGGCCTCCGGAAGGGAATGCGACGTGAGATTTGTGGTCGGCCGAATCGACATTCTGTGAGGGCATCTTTTAGTGATGATTGGACCAATATCGATCATGGATCGCACCTTGCCATCCCAGCACATAGGGAAGTTCTGATGGGGTGTTGAGTAGTGAGTAGCCATGGAAGTATTAGGAAGGACATACGATCTGAGCACGGATACCACTAGGACATGAAACTGGAGGAAGCATGTTGTATTTGGTGGACACTCCGTTGAAGTCCAAACACAAGAAAGTGACAGCCTGTTGAGCATAGCTGCTCGCGTTGTAAGACCGCAGGGTCATGTCACCTATAATTAGCAGCTATTGATGAACAAACGTGCACTGAGCCCTTCGAACAGCAAAATTTACCAGAGATCATACGGAACTAGAGCGGGGAAGTTAGTCCGGCACTATCTCATATAAGAAATGAACTGACGTTATCAGGGAATGCCTGAACCGTGTTGGCCTGGCCCTCTTCCGCGTCGTTGTAGAGGTAGTCTGGCAATGAGCGGACGATAAGCGGTGAAAGAAGGCGCAGGAACAAGACGACTTACAACTGCAACGAGTGTGAGTAATTGATAGCGATGCCAGTTAATAAACACACGTACATGACATTGCCCACGTCCAAAGCTGAAAACGACCCATTCTTGTGTCTAAGAAAAAATGAGCTTAACCACGGAAGGGGGAGGAAACGCATTGACGAGGACGCACTCGAAATAAAGGTGCTGCGATTGCACGTTCGTAAGGATGTTGAACGATGCAAAGCGACTAGTATACATACCGGATACCAGTAGTTCGATTTGTCCTGTTCAATCGGCATTGAAGTGCATTGACTGTCCCTCAGCGAATCCGTGGTAATATTCATCCCAAAGTTACTGCCGCCAACGACTATATGAGCATCAGCGGATGTTTATAATCGGGAATATCAGCAAGTTCCATACCGGAGTGGGTATGGCCAGAAACTGCTCCTGGGCTAAGAATGGGGTCCAATCGTTCAGAGACGAGGATATTGCCTTGTAAAAAGTATTCATTAAAATCTAATATCTACTAGTCGTTGCGCATTTTTGACACATACGAACGCCAACGAGGAAGTAGGCTTGAACGCTTGATAACGCGGCAAGGGTAAAGAGAGCATGACGAAGCTGACCAGCCATGAGGATTTCAAGAAAAGAAATCGAGGATGATTCGGAAGGTAAGAGAAGAAAGAGAGAGGGCTTAAAAAGAGTGGAAGGATGGAGGAAGAAGACAAGGTTGAAAAATTCTGATGACTTCATTTTATCCTTCCTTCTTGGAAGCTCCCACACACCGCTTCATTCATCAACGTTCAATTGATGTCAAGTTGTCGAATTTTGTTCCTGGTATCCATCTACATATCTGCAAGGCACGTAGTTTATTTTACATTTGTACAGTAAAGCTTCAATAATCTGAGAGTGCATCTACACCCAAAGAACCTTTTACTTCTTGTATCACAAGAAAATTAGAGCAAAAAGCGAGCAAATCTTAGGAAGAAAGCAAGAATGACTGCCGATATCATCAGCAATCGCCCTGTGGTTGAAACGCTCAGGTAAGGGTGACAGATATATTAGGTTTATGAGGACCATGAGAGCCCAAAGGAGTGACCGTCATCCGTCGTTCCGCGTTGTAGCCGTTGGATCTGCTCTCAGACTGAGCAAATGACAGAGGTATAGGCTCGCGATCTGAATAACAGTTGTATATTTGACAGCCCCTCATTGACCAGCTGCACATCATCAGGCACTATTAGGCATGCACTAACATCCTCAGTGGAGAGCTGGAATGAACCATTGAAAGGATCCCAAAATTCCGATCTAATACCTCGCGAAGCCTTCACTTTTACAGGAGGTATGAGTGTAGTGAAGGCCTCGGACAAAGAAATGCCACGATAAGGGCTGATAAGGAGGGAGTAAGAAATGTATAGAAGGGAGACGACCAGAAATGACAGGAGATTGATTATCCAATGACAAGTACATACCGCAACAACTAACTCCTACGGCCTGTGTCCCTCCAAGCATCCGTAAGTCTTTGAATTGTGGGAATTTCCCTAAGGCCGTCGCAGTAGGTCGCAGTCTACTGATCCTGAGCGAAAAGGAAGGGAGATGTCGTCAGAAACCATCCAGAAACTCGAACGCCGACGAAGCATTTGACATGTGCATGTAGTCATTCACGAATCGCGACTGGCGAAGCACGATTGTATGAGGCATAGCGCAATCATTGGGCGAGCGCTGAGGAGCACTGAGGAGGCGTAATGTGAGTGTGGTTGACACTTGTGGAGCAGAACTTGAAGATGACCTCCTAGAGTTGCCTTAAGGCAAGATAGTACCACCATTGCAGCTAAGCTGTAAATCCTAGGCTGGCGAAGACGATCGTAGAAGGAAAGAGAACTGCGGCGCTATTAGGAGTATGAGCATGAGCATGAGCATTCTTATTAGGATCATCATCATACACACAGATAACTTCACTATCATGATACTGATGAGAAACCATGCCATCTTGAATATCCGGAGCCGAAGTGAGCCTGATTTAGGTACCTGAGCATTTGAAGCCGTTTGAAGCAGAACAGAGAACCGAGGTCTGTTTGGCTCAGTTGCGGATATACCACCTGGTCGACCTTCCTTTCCGCTAGCTCTTTAGTAGCAGGAGCTGCTTGCGCGATTAGAATTCCAAACGAAAACAGAAGATAAGCTAATTGGCTGTACAGACATCACGCTATCAGAAGGCATCAATCACTCAACGATGAAATCCTGGGAACATGATCATTGGTATGCAGACTCGAAGATGAGGCCTTGAGGAGGTAAGTAATAAATGAGAATGTCGCTGAGTGAACATCTTGGGAGCCTTCCATACACAACGACCGTCAGGGTCTAGAAGAGTAGGTGGAAGACTTTCATACTAGACTCGGTCTAATGGCTGCAGCCTGACTCCCGTAGACGGCACGAAGAATAGATCATTTGAACAAGGTTTGGAACGGGAAATGCTGAGTACACCGGATCGAGTGAGCCATGTCAACCGATACGAACTGGGCAGTTTAGACGTTCTCTATTTGAAATACATACAATATGTACTTTCTCTTCGGTTAAGGAAAATGCTAGGGATTTTCCATAGTCGGACCAGAAAAGTCAAAGTCTGAAATGAGTATCGTATTGCGTTAAGATAAATAGACCACATACCTCCTCCTGCAGTACACCATCCAATTTGATCGACATGCTTCCGAAGAGCCGCAACATCGACCTTTGATCCACCTCCGGAGTCTTAAGCTCAGTACACAGATGAATGATACAACAGTTTGCTGCAGCCTTGGACGCGTTACATGCGACAACGGGTAAGCAGAAATACGTTCGACCATTGATATGCGTTGGATGTCATATCCGTGCTGGCAGCTGTTGAGGAAGATGGCAGGGCTTAAACCTTTGCGAAGAGGAGGCGGTTGAGTTGTTTCAATCAAACCAGAGAATGTACGGAGATGCAGATGCCGGATGCGTCTTGTGGCCTGCTCATATAGCCTATCATTTGGGAAAGAAATCATCTTAAATAAATTCAATCTACTGCGAAAGTAAACAAGCCTGCATCGTTAACCAAGAGATCCAACTTTCCTTCGGCTTTTTCGATACCATCTTGAGCTGCTTGACCAAGATCTGTGATATCAAGCAGAGCAAATTTGACATCAACCGTGCTCTTGTTTGAGTCTTTCTGGAGAGTAAAATTAGATCTGCGTTAGACGCAAGATATACAGCATTAACAATCAACAATTTTGACTGTTGTATGCTTGGGAGATAGGCGCTGTTGCGTATTGAAGAGTGAAGATATGGTGTGACGAGTCACGACCATACAGTAGCTCACACTTAGAAATAACTCGGAAATGATAGACTGAGAGTAAATCAAGCTCATTAATGCTGGAATGGCCGAGTCGTTAAGGCGATAGATTTGAATCCTATTAGGTAATCATCTATTACTCTCTGAGTGCGTAGGTTCAAATCCTGCTTCCAGCGATAACTTTTTTCTTTTGCAACGACCTCTAGTAATCGTGTCAAATCTTTCAAGGGTCAGACAAAATCAAGGCTACGTTTACCTGTTCAACCTTCAGCACGCCTACCAGTATACTTCCTCTAAAGTTCTTCCCTATGGAGTCCCAACTCCTATTATATTTATTTGTCACCCAAGTTTCTGTCTGCAGATGGATCTTGTCTCGGTGTGTTTAACTTCGAGCTGAGCTCCAGGCGAACCCTTCGGTTGAATTTCTCAGCTTCTCTCAGCGCGTCCGCCAGCTCTCATTATCTACCCAGTGTGGCTTATAGACACGATACGTCAAAGGACACGCCCTCGATCTTTGGGAAAGGAAGTTAACAGTTGTAAACCCAAACTATCATATTACTGTCCATGCAGCGACTCGGGTGTTCGGCATCATGATTTATTTTAAAACAGTAAATTACTCACTGTTGCTTTCTCTGTAGACCGAACTACTACCGTTACCGATGAGTCACCGACTGTGGTTTCTGTTGGAGAAAAGGTGTGTATCCGGAGGAATCAGCCAGTATAATATCATCTCAATCTCTCGAGCGATTTTCTGAGGTTCTGATGTCTAGGCCTAATAAGGTGTACGCACAATTCGTGTTAATGATTCTTGTGCGTATACCGGTACTTGACTTAGCTCAATGCGATGTGATCAATTGGTTGGCTTTTGCAATTATTGCCGAACCTTTAGGTTTGACTTCTGTATCTGAACCTTCAACTCGACTTTACTTGTATTGCGCGGCCGCACAGAATATTTTTTGGTATGGGAACTGCATATACACTCACGGAGCATCCCTAATATTCGAGAATGAGTATTTTCAGGTCACGGTCCGGGCTTCTCGATGATGAGGTTGTAATTTCTCTATACTTCATGCTCTTCAGCTCACCCCATGACAGAGTGTACGAGGACTTTTTGACCTTCTGACTCGTTGCTCTTCGAAGCTTTTAAAAGCCCAGTACCCATGGCAGTACATCCTCTTCGACGTACGGGAAAATGTTTCTTTCAATCTTCAAACTACCCCTTGTAATTGCCCCCGTTTTCTGGCTCGCGCCCCAACTACTTGCTGTATCTATCCGATCTTCAGGCTATGGAGATACCATTGACGTGGGGTATGCTAAATACAGAGGGAATCGATCTTTCGAGAACACGGTCGCTTACCTCGGTATTCCCTATGCGGAACCACCTCTTGGTGACCGACGTTTTCGAGCACCTTTGCCTTTGAATACCACTCGTGTTTCCCAAGAAACTGCTGGTCAAATCGTGGATGCGAAGCAGTATCCAGAATTTTGTGTACAGGGAAGCACAGGAGGTGGGTATCGTTCTGTCTCGAGAACCGAAGTTGATGTTTTACCACGTAGACAATGATGCTGGAGGTGCCGGAACTGAGGACTGCCTAAAAATGAATGTATACGCACCTTTCGGTGCAAAAAGTGGTGACAATCGTGCGTCGACTGTTTCAATCACTCTCTTTGTGCTGCCTTGCGCCTTGGGAAAGTCGAATACGCTCAGCTGACTGACCCTTGTATTTGTAGTTCCCGTTCTTGTATATTTCCATGGAGGAGGTACTTTACTTCTATGCCATATTCTATTCTAGCTCATCATGCGCCAAGGTTTTGTTTACGGAAATCCCGCCAATTGGCCTTTCGACAGTTGGATCCACCAAAGTCCCAACATCGTCGTCGCCTCCGTGTACTACAGACTCGATTCCTTTGGCTTTCTCAACATCCCGGAGTTTTCTGATTCTACTTTTGGCGATTTTAACGCGGGCTTCCTTGACCAAACCGAATCTTTGCGATGGATCAAAGCTCATGTCTCTGCTTTTGGAGGCAACCCGGGAAATGTGACAATAAATGGACAGAGTGCTGGTGCTGCATCGGTTGAGCTTCATCTTGTAGCCAATCAAGAAAGGCTCTTTACTGGGGCAATCGCTCAGAGCGTAGGTCGAAGTCCTATCGAGATGCCAGAAAATCAAGTTGTAAGTATGGTCAATTTGCGAATTGGTTTGGCAAGGTTTTTTTTTTGACGCATGTTGACCAGCCGGTGTTTAACTTTTATGCTGAAACAGCAGGATGCGGTTCGGGCTCCGTCGCAGATAAACTTGATTGTCTCCGACACGCCAGCATTAGTGCTTTGGCAAGAGCTCAGGATGCACCTCGAATTCAACCGTCTTCTTTGTGAGCTCATCCTGCTACTTCGATGTTCTTGGACCCCAGTAACACAAAAACACTCCAGCGACGGAGCTTACCCCACCTTCAATCCTGTTGTAGATGGAACGATCATAACCAATTACCCTTCCGTGTCGATTCAAAACGGAAACTTTGCTAAAGTTCCTTTGATTGTAGGGTACGTTCCGAAAGTTCGCAATCAGCTTTTTCTGTGGCTCATCCGAAACTTTGAATTGACAGCGCTACATCGAACGAAACAGGCACCCTTGAACCTACTCTTCCTGAAACAATGAAAACTGCGTTCCCTGGATTGACTGTGGAAAGTGCGGATAAATTTCTCGAGGTTCCATTATTAGACCCTTTTGATCTCCTCGCTTCCCATCCTGATTTCAGCGCGTGTAGGTATATCCGCTAAGCGAATTTTCATCTCAACTGCAACGAAATCAAACGGCAATAGGGGAATCCATGTTGAGATGTGCAGTTAGTACACATAAAACAACATTTGAGAACACCCTCATTGACCATGATTCCTGAACAGCGCGAAATTATGGGCGGAGCTTTCGCTAATGCACCTAAATCGTGGACATATCGATACAATCAACCGAACCCGACGCTGGGAATGCCCGGTTTCACTGCTCATGCGGCGGAAAATTGGATGATGTTCAATGGGATCAACACAGGATTCAACGGGTCCGGAACGTTCACACCTATGACATCTGTTGAGAAAGCTTTTTCGGAGGAGCTCATCGCATATTGGATCTCCTTTGTGCGTTCGGGTAACCCCAACACGTTCAAGTTGGATAGGTCTCCTGCTTGGACGGAATATTTTATCTCAGGTTCGGCGGACGAGTTGAAGCAGCGTATAGTGCTGCAGCAAGACCCAAACAACTCGACTGCTGTTAGTGGCAGTTTTATCGAAATGGAGCCTGAAGAGGAGAGTGTGAGGTGTAAATTTGCGGCTAGTAAAGCCGAGGAAGAGCAGAATTGAAAGCAAATACTGACTACTGACTACGTGTTACAGGCCACGTACATGAGTCAGATACTATGTTATAATTATGACAATCCTGCGGTCCTTTGAGCACCTTATGACTGCTCCCACGGAAGCACGATTTAAGAGAATTGGCGTGCACTGCTACTCCAAATCAACTAGAAAAACCAGTGCCGATGGTCAGGAAAAGAACATTTGTGCATAGTACTCATTGCTCAATGACTGATTGTAGTGAAGGAACTTTTATCCCTGAAAGAATGTACCTTAAGGTTGTATAAAGCTCGATTCAAACGAGCCTAGGTAATCCCCAACTTGCTGGTCAAGTTTTGCACTAATTTTCGTTAAACCCTTCAAACCTATTTTTCGAAGAAAATTTGTCTGCACTGTCCCCGCTGCTATACATCGTTCACCTATCGATATGCATTTAAATCCTGCATTCCTGATAACTGGCTTGATCTCAGCCGCTTGGGCAACACCTCTCCCCGTGAGTTTCTCAGCATCGTTTGTGTGATGGCCCACTGACAGAAGCTGATATTTTTTCTATACTATAGGCAAAACACGAATCCTCGGTATCCGTCCTTCAGCGTCGAGCTGCAACTAAGATTGTAGCCCAGTGTTCTGCTAGCGTCAGCGGAGATCCCAAAGGGTTTCGAGGCCTGGTCGAAGGATTTCTGAAGAGAGCTGCGAGGAACTCTGGTATAACGGACCCAGAGATTTGCGTCCCAGATAACTATAATAGCGGGGACAGGGTTAAATTTACCGTGACTGGATTCAAGGAATGTGAACCGGAATGTATGGGGGAGGTCACTTTAAATGGAGGGGTACACTCAGTAAAAACAATAAGTTGGACACTATGCCGTTCTACTGGTATAGTCCAAGCCTCAAGGTATGTAAATTGTGCATTTTTGTTTTTGTGGCATCCATAGCTTATGAATTGGTAGTCGTCGTGATGATAGTGCCAGGTAACCTGCAACCTGCATGGTAGAAATCGAACCTAGTCAAGTAATTTCACAACGCGAATTGTGGGGGGATGGGGGGATGGGGGGGGGGGGGGGGGGTTGCATATTTAATGTTTTCCTATAGTTGGTTGCACACAAGTAAATCATTACTAGTTTCGTTGGCCCAATCCTCTGATAGATGGCTAGCCGATTGCTCACGAAGGATATACACCACACCACTCGCGTTCACCGATCACAGCTGCATCTCTTTCACCCAGTTGATACGCGACTCGTGCGGGCAGTGACATCCTCCCCTAAAAATTATCTTGTGTGTCGCCAGGGCGGTGTCGAAATGTATCAGCATGTTTCGCTAGCTACACCCAAATCATCATAAAAACACAGGATAATTGCTCAACCAAGAGAATATCCCGACTACAATACTACTGACAACGAGCACAAGTCAACTCCTCACCTTCGTTCCCCTGCCGAGCTTTTTGACAAGATCAATTATTATGACTCGGGCTTGAGAGGGACTTAGAGAGAGGTATTTGAGCGAGTAACTGGTGTTCATTCGACGACCTAAAACTAAGGAGAAATACAACGATATGTACAGTATATAGAGAATAGGAGTCGTCAGGAGAGGTTTGTGAGTCAGACTATGATTATTAATTAATAGTGTGAGATATAATGAGTACACCTGTCACCAAGAGAGTGAGACGAAACTGAACGACGATATACGGAACAGGAGGATGAACGAGACGGGTAAGCAAGCCAAACCCTTACAGAACAGCGAGAGAGGAATCAAAGGCGAGTACCCACTCCTTCCATCGAATATAGTAAACACAACTAGTAGAAACCTGCACATCCAACTTCAACCAATATTCCC